CCTGGTCCTGTGGTTCGCCTGGCTCTTGCGCTGCTGAGCGCTGTCCCTAAACCGGGTGGAGAACTCGCGCCCCCGCTGCCAGCCGGGGCTCCAGGACAAGGCTCCAATTTCCCGCACTGCGCTAGTGGCAGCTGACATCCAGGGAAGAACTTGTGGGCAAAATCCAAGAGACCAAATTCAAAGGCCGATCTTTCGCCGCTGTTAAGTTCCCCAACCTGGCGCCTCAGATTCTCTCACCAGTAATACTAGCGTCTTTGTGTGGCTGCTGCGAGAATTAAACAGATACCAGGTGCGGCAGTGTCCGACTCATAGCATGCATTCAAGAAATGGTAGTTATGACCAGTTTGGGGACCAAAGAAGTCTCCACGCCCCCCCCCCCCAAAAAAAAAGTTACTTGGCTAATTCTGCCAACAATGAGCTTTTGAGGAGTGAGAGGGCCCGACTGGGCGGACAGACCCTGGCCGGTGGAAAAACCTTGGGAGAAGGGAATGGAGGGCGGGCAGCTCCGCAAGTTCCCGCCGGTTGCCGCTCTCCGTGCGATAGACCCGCCACTCTTTGTAGACTCTCAGGTGGCTCAGTTACAACTCCCAGAGTGTAGCGGGGAAAGCGTTCTTCCAGGGAGCCCCCCAGAATCTTAGGTGTGAGCTTCGGTGCCGAGATAGGTCCTCCGCGCCACGATAGCTACTTGGGATTACAGAGTTGTGCCCATGGAGCGTCCCAAACGTCCTGGCTCCCAAGCCTCTGTCCTACGCACCGTCTGCTTAAAGGGGCGGAGAGACCAGGGCTACCCATCCCTGGGTCTTCCACTGTCCTGCCTTCAGATCCTGGAGTCACGTTAGCCTCAGCAGTACCGGGGCAGAGGCACAGGACCACAGCCCCAAAGCCAATCGCACTGGGCAGAAGAGCGCCGTGGTCTTGCCGAGTGCCGGCGGGACCTCAGAGGCCTGCTTCTCCTGTATCCTTCCCCAGCCGGGCGCAGCTGCCGGGACCTGGACACACTACTCACGGAATAAAGGATCTTGGCGCTCTGCATTGGAGAGGGCCTTTGATGGTTCCTGAGTTAGCCTTGAGAGGGATAAAGGTTGCAGGTGTCCTAAAGAAGCGCCCGCAACCCTCCATATGTCAGCCCTTGTGCCGGCCTTTCTGGATTGTGGATCTCTCCTAGAAAGGGAGTTTGGGGGCAACTAGGGGCACCTTCTGGGCCTCGTGAGGCCGATCTTCTTTCGAGCTACTGAGATTCTCCATTGCGAGACGGCCGCAGGAGGCAAATAGTAGTCGCGGCCCTTCTGCATTCTGGATTCCAAATGCCACCCCGGAAAAACCATTTCTGAGATCCCGCCGCACACATCGCCTGGGAGTTTTGAAAACCGTCTCCTGAGATGAGGCATGGAGGGCCTTGACCCTGACACCAGGATGCCGGGTCTTTCCGGTCCAGGTTCGCCCCGCCTCCGGCTGTGACCCCCAGCGACTCAGCTCATGGCCAAAAATGGCTCCAGAAACAAGGACTAACTCGCGCCAGGTTGGGATCAGGCACTCCTGCAGTCCCAGGGCATCTACTTAGAGGGGGAGGGCTCTGGTGTCCACTGATTTTCCTGGCTCCCGCAGACACCCTGGGCACTCCCCGGCTCTTGCGCACGCCTGTGTTCTCAGCCCCTCTCTCAAGGCTCCCACGACCCTACCTACATACAGCAGCGCGGTTTTTTCCACGCTGCGGGCACACAGTGTCTCTCATGCCTTCTCACATCTTTCAGTACATCCGCAGGCACTGTGTGGTGGTCCCCCTCCAGCATCCCCTAGGCAACTCTGGGTGCTCAGAGACTGAAACACGAAAAAGGGAAAGGGCCAGTCTGAGTCCAACTCCACCTCGGTTCTTCCTCACCTGTCCCTCAACACAAACTCTTCCAGAGTTCCTGAGGCATCCCACAGGAGATAGAGCAGGTGGCGCTGTGAGGGCCGAATTTCCTGCATCCTGCCACTCAGCTGGCCTTTCCTTTTCTTACAGACCGGAATTGTGTTTCCGACAAGTACTGGCAATAACCAAGGACTGAGTACCTGCAGCCATGTTCTCTCCCCAGATCTCCCTGGCTCTGTTTAATCCTTGCCTTACTACCTGCTCCCCAGTGGGGCCACCACATAAGATGCAAGAAGTAGGGAAGTCAGTGTACTGACCAAGGTCCTCATCAGGGTTACAGGGTGAGGGTGCGCAGGACAATGACTGGGAGCCCCTCCCGTCTCCTATATTTCGGAACTTTTCTGCCCCCAAGGAGATTTCCTTTCTTCAGTCCAGCCTGCTGCCCCTGAGCCTGTGTTTAGTTTATTTGGTTTCGCCCTTGAGGGCTTTGTGAGCATGGGACCTGGTAAGGAACAAATGAAGGGTATTTGGGAGCGCATGTGATGAGGGGAGCAGAAAGGGAGGCTCCCCACTTCTAGTGGCTACATCCCTTTGGGCTCAGGACAAAACCTGTGGCTTCAGAGCTGTCCTCAGGCAGAGGGCAGTGGTTGGGAGAGGGGTAACAGGACTTTGAGATTCCAGTTTCCTAGATGCCAATAGGAGTGTCTATATTCTCCAGGCAAGACCTGCCCAGTTGGAGTGCTCCGGTTGGTGTGCAACTGGTGCTAGCTACTTGGGGTTTTCAGAACTTCTGCATAATTTCCCCCACCCCGTTTAAATAAATATTTTCTCCTTCAGCTGTCCAACTAGGAGAAGCGGGAAATTGCAGCAAGTTGCCCCTGCTATGCGGCCTTTGGAACAGGCACCCCGCCCTCTACTGGCGCATTAGGACTCTGGGCAGACTCCAAGGATCCCACCTGGGCAGACGCTAGAGTGTCTTGGGTGGGATCCCTAATCAGCTGCAGCCTTGGGCTGGGACCATCTCTTTCTCTAGGACGGAGCAGTTAGGTATCCAGGCCTTTACAGTAAGTCCTTCTGAAAGACTGGGCCCTGGTCCCCACAGGTCGGTGGGCAGAAAGTGGCTGCTGGCAGGGGCAACAGTGTGGGTTGTGGATTTGCGTGCTTCTTGGAAAGAAGCCTAATATGTGTGTCGGCATGTGTGAGAGAGCACACGCAGGCTGGAGGGGGTCTATTTCTGCATTCTCTTGCATATATATCCAAGAGAGAGTGCTTGAGGACCCGCTGTGTCTGCAAATGGTAGGAGGGTCTCTGTGTGCTTGGTTCTATATTTTGATGCATGCAGGTATGAGTGTGTGTGACAGTCTATTTCTCTGGGTGGTCACTATGGATGAGAGGGTGAAAAGTTTTGTTGCCATCCAACAGCCATGGAACATAACTGCCTGAATCAAATTAATATTAAATGTGTATGTTCATGTTTATATGAACGTTAATATAGTCTGTTTTCCTGTGAGTGTGGGACTGAAAAACAGGGAGTGGGTAGGGGTGATACACATATACAATATGTGTTTGTCTCATTTCCAGAAGTGAATATGGAAAAGAGTGGACTCTGACATAGCAAGCGGCCCTTTGGGTTGAGGAGAGGTCGTTTTGAGAAGCGGTTTTAGGCATGGATTGGGTTTTTGGACCTTCAGGCAATGGCTGGCCCTTCATCCTTCTAGGCTGTGGAAGTTAGGTCGCCCAGGTCCCACAAGCACAGACAGTACCCGAGAGGACCTGAGTTGTTTCTTGAGAGTAGAGCCTCCAGGAGAGGCAGAGAGAAGTACCCCGGCTGGAATTTCTCTCGGGGTGTAGAAGTGGACAAGCGCTGGGTGCCCACGAAGGCGGAGACTCCAGCATCATTGAGCAGTCCAAGCTGGTAGGTTATCTCCTTGAATTCCAGACCTGCACAGATAGTAGCTTCCCTAGTTAGGCCACTCAGAAGCCTGAGTCCGCGAGAGAATTCTTGATAACTTAGAAAGTCCGAGGAAAAAGGTCTTCTGATTTTGCCCCGATTTTACCCAAAAGCGCTGATTTTGCCAGAAAGGTAGTCCTAAGAGGTCCATGTGCTCTGGGATCTCAGCTCAATAAATGCCTCTTCCCCTCCATCCCTTCCAGTTCAGGGACTAGGGTGTCCTGGTTTTGGAGAAGGGTTTTCAGTACCCATAGCCACTGAAAACCAACACCCAAAAGCCCCAACTTCCTTCTCGCAGAGTTCTTCCTGCTGCGAATCTGCCGGGACCGGCTTGGCCCAGCCAGTTAAAGGGGGCTAGAACCACAGAGGAGAGTCAGCGCTGAAGATTAATTCACAGCCACAGAAGCACCTGTGACGCACGACGCGAGAAGGCATCCCCTTGGCCTGACCTTCCGAACCCAGGTGCCCACTTACTCTTCATTTACAACACGCGCCCTGCAGGCCCAGCCGCTCGGTCGCCTCTGACTTTCTCCCCTGTTCACCTCCAGAGCAAACCGACTGAAGCATTGGGTGGGTGCGTGTACGTGAGCTCAGAGACCTTCGCTCTGCCGCGCTGTCCTACAGGCTACACGCGTACCTGGAGCCTAGGTCTTGGCAGCCGCCCCCCACCCCGCCGCCAGGCGGGAGGGGGCAGGGGGCTGGCATATCTCCCCGAGTATTGCCCCTAGTTCCAGGGGCTGAGACTACTCCAAGGTGTCAGCTAGACAGGATACTTCCGCGGTCTGATTGGTTCCCCAGCCTCCGCATTTCTAAATGCACGTACCCGGCGGGCACATCCCACCTCCCCTTCCCAGGTGGAAAAAGAGGGGGTGTGTGTGCTCTGCGCAGTGGTATGGGGAGAAGGAGCCCGCACCCTGCCCACTTCTGCAGGGAATTTTCTGGAACAAAAAAAAAAAAAAAAGGGATTGAGGGCTTTGGGAGAGGAACTTTCAAGTTTTCAGGCCCTTCACCTAGCAAGTGATACACTTTGTCTGGGAGGGTGCCTCCGGGTTTCAGGGACTCATGGGTTTCTGGGACTCACCGGAGTATCCCTGTGGGGAAATCAGACACTGTTGCACTCCTGGCCCTCGGGCTTCATGGCATATATTCATATATATTTGATTTCTAATTTTATTATAAAATAAAAGCAGAAATATATTCCGAAGAACATTCACAGGAGGGCGTAACAGGGAAACGGCAAGACCGCGGCTCGGGAGGCACGCTCTGCCGGGAGTGCTGCGGCCACAGTCCGGGGAAAGAGGAGAGAGCATCGTGGAGGAGCCTCGCAGAGAGAGCAGGAGAGAGCAAGAGTGACAGCGAGAGCGACAGCGAGATCAAGGGGAGAATAAAAGAGCTTCTGGGATGCCTTTCACTTAAGTTACTAGGCGAAAAGCTGACACCTGCAGCTGGGTTTCCTCTCCGGAAAGCCTTTGGAGATGACCTAGGATCCAAGACTTTAAGGGCCTTTTCCTCCTCCCCACTCCCGGAAAGTGCGGAGAGGGAAATCAATGGCCAGACCGGAAGAGAGAGAGGGTACAGACCCAGAGGGCCAAGGCAGAGTGCAAGACACCATCAGGAGAGACAAAGAAAAAAGAGCTAGAAATCTAGAAGAAAACAAGGAAAAGCAAGAAGAGGAGAGAGAGGAGAGGCGAAAGGACAGAAAACGGAGAAAGGAGAAAAGAAAAGGAAAGGAAGAGGAGGAAAGGGGTGCAGGCAAGAGGAGAGAAGAAAGAAAAGACGGAGAGAAAGAATGAGAATGGTGTATATAATTTATTCCCTTCCCTGGTTCAAGACCTGGTCCCCGGCCTCCAAAGGATCTCAAAAGCGGCTTGTTGAAAATAAATTCCAAATAAGGACCCAGAGTGCCATCCGCTTTGTCCCTGCCGGCGGTTCTGCCGGCCTTGCGCGCGGGTCTTTCAGTACCTGGAGGGGCCGCCGGCGCTGGGGCCCTCCGGGCACCGCCTTCTCTCGGGTCCCAGCGCCAAGCCTGGAAGGCAAACGCGAAGAGGCAGCAGAGCTCTAGGAGCCCAGGTCCACGAGGTTGGCCGACATGGGGTTGAGGATGGAGTCCTGGAGGCCGTGATGATGCTGCAGTGGGTCCGCCCCGCCTCCGCCCGGCACAGGCACCGGCACTGCGCTGGGTCCCGGAGGGTGGCCCAGGCTGTGCAGGGACGGCAGCCCGGGTGGTGGCGGCGGACTGAGTAGGAGCGCGGGGCTGGACGACGAGTGGTCTGGCGTCCCCGACGGCGTCTTCTCGTCTTCAGAGCTGCCTAGCACCGACTTGCCGCTTCCATTAAGAGAAGAAGCCAGTGGGTTGTGGCTGTTGGAATTGGAGTTCTCGCTGTTCTCCCTGCAAGTGCAGGAGCAAAGCAGCCGGGTCAGCGGGGAAATGAGGCCTTTTAGCGCAGTCTTACCCTGAGCCAGTTTGCCACCGGTCTGCGGAGACAGAGCGCCGGCGCCCTGCTTGCGGGTGTTTTCGGTTTCTATGGTTTTCTCGGCCTGGCCTTGGCTTTTCATTTATGCCCGTTTTCACAATCTTTCAACACCCGATTTCGCTTGTCCCTCTCTCCTATATCATCTCCCTCTCTCTTTCCCCCGCCTCCCATGCGCTCAGTCTCATGACTATCTTTCCTACTCTATCTGCCCCCCTCCCTTCTTCCAAGAGAAGGCGACCCTGGAGTTGGAGGGTGGGCAGGAAAAACAAAACAAAACAAAACAAGGATACCTCGATTTTCAGATTGCTCTAGGAATCTCCAGGTAGGTTTACTAAATAGAAGTGGGGCCAGGAGGATGAGGTACCCTAGATCCCAGGCTGGGTGACCAATTTGAAAGTGAGTATCTCATAGCCTTTCATTTCTCTCTGCTTTTGTCTGCATGAGAGAAACTTTTGGGCACGGGGTCCTGACCCCGAGGGTCCTATTTCTCCAACCTGGGCACATCCTGTGAGGGCTGCCCTTGCTAAGCCTAGGATCAAGGCTCCAAGAACAGAGGGTTCCCTTTCCCTGGTGGGCATAGTGGAAACTTTGGCCAGGGAACTGGAAGCTGGGGCATGGAGGGTAGCCCCTGGGAGAAAACAGAAGGGAGGACTTGGTAGTCTTGACCTAGACTTTTCCATCATAACCTGAAACTCCAGCTCTCACCAGGGGCTTGGGCCAGGGAAGGCAGTTCTTAAGGAGTCTGGACTTAGACCAGTCTGGATGTAGGGGGACCCAGCAAAGAGAACTCACCTCTTGCCCTGCCTCTGCTGACAGTCCCTGCTCAGACTTGGATATTTGAAATACTGGGTAGAGTCTCTTTTTCGCTGGGGGCTTCTGTTCCTGATATCTTAGGAGACGAATCCACAGACAGGCTGCGGGGAACCTGACCACTGTGGATACCCCAACCTCAAGATACCAAAGTTCAGATATCCAGATACCAAAGTTCAGCCTGCAGCGTTCCCTCCATTTCTACTCTTCAGCACTCCAATTCTGACCCTAATCATTCAAACTCTGGGCTAAACACACCCCATACCACCAACCTCAGGTGTCCTATTTGTTACTTTCAGGTTGGATTCTGTTCCCATAATTACTTTCTCTCCCACCCCTTCTCCAGATTTGGAGTTCTGAGGGGCTACAAAGCAGGCAGTAACAAGGGCCTGCTGGTCAACCCCTAGACTATTTCAGAAAGTCCTGGTTTCCCTGACAACATACAACTCTCAGGCCTTGTGAGGCTCTTAGCTCACTGGTGACATACCGACCTACCCCCTAAAGAGGGTAGTAGAATCTGAGGAAAAGGGTCAAGGGCCTGGCAGTCCAGGGAAGGGCTGCTGGGTCCAGTTAAGCAGCAAAGGGGTCATGCGTTTCTCCTCTTCTCTCTTAGAGCTGGTACTTGCTCTCTGGAGCCTCACCTCAGTCCTCTGCATGCAGCATAAGAGACTGGCTCTCAACTCCCACATTCAGACAAGGAAAATTCTTGCCCAGGCGCTTCTTCCTTCAGTCCATACTACGGAAATCCCAGTCCTGACCCCTAGTCACACTTAGGTTTGGAGGTGAGTAAGGCTGAGGGGAAGTGCGGGGAAGCACAGAACCAGTCAGGAATCGCCTCCCGCTTCTACCTGGGCCCACACAGAGTCCTTGGCCTTTCCAGGTAAGACCAGGGCCTGCCTGCTGAGCCTACTTTGTGCGGGTTCAGGCCCACAGTTCTGCCCTCTCCTTGAAGCTCGCTGCTTCTTCACTTTTGTCCATAAACGACCAGGGAGTTAGTTGACAACTTCCCGCATTGGGCTTTGCCCGCTTTAGACAAATCCCTGCCCGCCGGGTCTCCGAAAAGACCTGTGCGCCCTCTAGGTCAGGCTAGTCTGCAGCTGGCCGTTGCTGGGACTGAAGGGTCCAGTTTAGGCCTCGCTTGGGGTTGGGCAGACGCCCCTGCGACCCACTCCCTCGGGCCCGGGAAAGCCGGCGCCGAAGCTCTACTTACTCGTACCTTTCCTTGGCCTCGGCGGCCCGGTCGCGCTGCCGCCGGTTCTTGAACCAGTTGCTGACCTGCGTGGTGGTGAGGCCTGTGGCCTCCGCCAGCTCGCGCTTCTCCCGGGGTGACGGGTAGGGGTTGTGAGCGTACCACTCTCGCAACACGCTGCGACTCTTTTCCTTGAAGCAGTAGCTGGTCTCCTCGCCGTCCCAGATGGAGCGCGGCAGCGGGAACTTGCGTCGCACGCGATATTTGCCCACAGCGCCCAAGGGCCGGCCACGCAGCTTCTCCGCCTCGATGTAGTGGGCCTTGAGCCATAGCTGCTGCAGCTTGGCGTGGTTGTGTGGCGAGAACTGGTGGCTCTCCAGGATCTTGTAGAGCTCGCGGAAGTTGCCGCGGTGGAAGGCCACCACGGCCTTGGCCTTGAGCACGCTTTCATTCTTGTGGAGGTGCTCGCAGGCGGGCAGCGACCACAGGAAGCGGCCCAGCCGCTCAATGTTGCCTCCCTGCTGCAGCACCTCGCACACGCACGCCACTTGCTCCTGCGTGAAGCCAAAGGTGGGCAGCATGGACATGGTGCCGGCTGCGCCCCCGCCCGCCCGCGCGCGCCCTCACCGCGCCGCGCAGTCCCGCATGGGCGCCTCCCCGCCAGCCGTCCGGGCCGAGAGGCGGGAGGGGCGGGCCCCCTGGTCCGGCGCTGGCTCCGGGCGAGTCCTGAGTCACTGCAGCACGTCCTCGTGCCGGCCGCGGGTCCCGCGCAGCTCCGCGCCCCCGCCGCCTGCGTGCCCAGCCCGCGCCTTCGCCCAAGTCCGGGGGCCGCCTGGGGCGCCGCTCCGCATGCTCTGCGCCCGCCCGCCGCTCCCTAGTTCGCTTCTCGCTCGCTCTCCCTCCCGTCTAGCTCGCTCGCAGCTTTTTTAATAATATTATTCTAAGCGGGCATGAGGCGCGGCGGCCCGCGCCCTGATTGGTCCGGTTATCTGACCCGGGGCCTGCCCGCGCCAGACAATAGTCGAGTCAAATTATTCGCCATGGAGACGCTGTCAGTCACTGGTAACCCGAGCCCCGGCGGGCCGGGCGGCTCCCCCCGGCCGGCTCCGCTGACAGATCGCCAGGCTCCGCGAAAAGCTGAGGGCGGCCCGAGACAGGAGCCGGAGGCGCTCCAAGGGCTTGGGAGGCGGAGAGGAGCTGGCAGGGGCCGGCGGCGGCGGTGATTGACGGGGCGGACGCCCAAAGAACAAGGAGGAGGAGGAGGACGCGGGAGGATTGGGGGAGACTGGACGCAAGAAGAAAAGGGGAGGTGGGGAGGGAAGAGGAGAGAAGGAAAGGCGGAGGACCGTTTAAGGGGGTTCCTGGCAGGAAGGGGAGGGAGAAGGGTAGAAGGAGCTTCCAGGGGGAAGGAATTTGGGGCAGCTTTTTGCAAGGGGCGGCGCTGCAGCCTCACCCAGGCCCTGCTAGTTGCCCGGGTCCCACCTGGGTCACCGCATCCCTGCCAGGGTGGCCGTTCGCAGGCAGATACTATCCAGGAGCGGACTATTGGGATGGAGAGTTTGGACGTGCCCAGGCGCCGCTCAAAAACTTGGCTTTTCTTACTGAAAACGCCCCACCCCCATGCTAGAAACTCCGGACCCGAGCTGTCCTCGAGGGAAAGGGGGAGGGAACAGGGGAGAGAAGTGGGGGACTTGGCAGTAGCTGCAGGCGGACGCCTGAGAATCAACTTCCCGGAGGATCCCGCCTTTCCTCCCTCTCCTAGCCCGGCCGGCTGCCCCTCAGCCGGTACCGCCCTACTCATCGCGCTCTGCTCCTCGTCGGGCGGGGACTCAGACTTAACCCCACGGGTCCCAGGGCCCGAAAAACCTCAGGCAGTTCCGTGTGGCTTATACGGAAGTTGATTCCGGCGGGAGCGGCGACGAAGAGCCGAGGAACGACGTACACCTACAGACTACCTACGGGGAGCTGAAGGCAGGGGCTCCAGCTCTTCCCGGTTGGGTGGTAGGGAGGAGAGAGTGGAGGGACCTCCACCGTCCTGCCTCTACGCTTGGACTCGGCTCAGGCTCGGCTCGCACTCCTTCCAGGCGGCTTCAGCCTGGGAACCTCGAGCTGGGCTCGGTAATGAGGGCCTTAGAAAGAGGGATTTTTTTTTTTTTTTTTCTTTTCAGGGCATGGTGCATTTTCTCTGGCAGAAAGGCGCACGTGGAGGAAATGAGAGAACTGGGGTGTGTTTGTGAGGGGGTGTTACTTCCATTTCCACGGTTTTGAAAGGCCCCGGGCTTAACTAGTTCTGTGACTTGTCCTTTCCCCTTCCATTTCCCCTCTTCACTCTCAGTTGTTGCAGGCCGGAACTCCCAGTGCCATTGTCAATGCTGGGTCCCCAGCCAGCACAGATCTCTGGCCCTCCTCTCAGTATAGGGCTATGGAATCAGAGTCTAGAATACATTTCTTGTTTCCACCCTTTTAAGCTTTTAGAGGGTTTGTGCTAGCAGTCCTGGCATGGAAGTCCAGGGCCCTAACTTTTTGCTTTGCTTTGTGTCTAAGGGTAAGGCACATATGTATTCCTTTAAGTGTTCATCAGGATTTTCAAAAATTTCCTTCTATAGTGCTCTAGCATGCTGGGGTTCCTTTGGGGGGTGTTGCAATCATGAGAGTGGAACACCTGGAATCTCCCTAAGAGTTTGCTCCTAGGTGCTTGCCCCTTGTGTTGAGGCCAAAGGGCTGTCAAATTAAGTTCCAGACCAGTGGCAGGACAGCTTCCTGCAGATATCCAGGTGGTATCTTTGGAGTCTTCATCTGATGCATCCAGGACACCCTATCCAGAGTCCTATGCGCTGCCACACAAGATTTGCTTCAGAGTCAGCCAGGAGGACCTTGGGAAATATTGAAGAAAATTTACTCCAGACTGCTCTGAGGTTCAGAGCCACCTTGCTAATATTCAACAAAGGTGACCTGCTCTTTCCAAGACCTGTTCTCAGGCACACATTTGAAAGACTCCCAGTAGCAGGCTGGCCCCAGTTCTAGCCATGGTCATTTTATATCTCTGCAAGATCAGGTTGGGGCTGGAGGAGAGTGCCTTGTTGGGCGTGGGTGGATGAGTCCAGGCAATTACTTCCTCCTATAAGACTTTGGGCCAGTTTCTGGTTTGCTCTGCTTCATTCTTTCTCACTATTAGAAGAGGCTTGGGTGATCTCTCAATCTCTGCTGATTCTAGGCTGGTGTAGGTTTAATAATACTAACCTTGACAAAGTGGGTGATCTCTGCAATCTCAGTCCCAGACTTTACCACGAATGTGCCTCTCCTGGGATAGCTGGAGCTTCAATATTGAACTTCCCTCAGAACTGTTCAGCGAGGGAAGTTTTTCTGTATCTTTTTCAGACTCTGGGAGGGCAGACTTTTCGGGGGTGGGGGTAGCACTGGGAGAGACAGGGAATCTGAAAAAGATACAGAAAAACTTCCATGCCCTAAATCCAAGAAGCAGCCTTGCCAGGAACCTCCACAGCACTCAGCTGTGGAGACAGAACAGAACAGATGGGGAACCTACCACCTTGGATAATATAGTGTGGGTGCCATATGAAAAATCATTACAGAGTAAGTACAGAAAACTTGATGTATGGGTGTGTGTCCTTATGCCACTAGTTATCCTCTCATGTTTGTAGGAAACCAGTTCTAGCAGGTCTGGGCCCGAACTTCTTGACCACAAGGGCTGTTGGATGTCTGCCCTAAAAAGTTTAGTAGCTGAGCTAGGGTCTCTTCAGTCCTTCCTTGCCTGGCCTCCTCCCTGACAGTGTTTGTCACAAGATGAAACACTTGGTAGGTGTCTGGGTGAGGATTTGGTAGACGCCAGCTTGACCCCAAGACAATTTCATTCCCATTTCCAGCTGCTTAGAGCAGCTGCTCCTGAGGCCTGCAGTGCCAGGTGCTTTGGGTCTACCCCAGATGGAAATGTCCAAAATCCCTATCTTTCTCCCCTCAGAGTACACACCTAAGAGACTTATGGCTAGCCTACTTTGCTCATAGAGCAGTAACAGGAGCAGTTCCAAGGCCAGGAAAGAGAAAACTTTTGTAAACCCATGGAAATCTGGGCTTCATTGAAATGCCTCCTTTCACCTCCAAGCTGTTCTGAAAGTCCCCTAGGAGGATAGGACTTGCTGGAAAGCTGTAGTGGGTGGGCCCCATGATCTCACGCTGACGGAATGCCTTTGCCCCAGACTTTTGGTCAGGGACAGGCTGGGGCCTTTGAGTCTAAATTGGTCAGAAGTTTGTAGGACAGAGCCCAAAGGCCATTAATGACCGTCATTGATCAGCTAAGGACTGACATATTTGGCCCATCATGGGACTTTTAACTTAAGGGAGAAAGCAGCCATGCAGTGCTCCGAAGGGCTTCCTTTGCTTTGGGTTGGGGCCATTTCAGAAGGAACGGGGTGATCTAGGGGGAAGGACTGGAAGGTTATTTCCAATGCCAGAGGATGGGAAGGCCACCCTTACCAGCACGAATCCCTGTTTGTGACTGAGGGAAGAAGAGAAAGGAGCGGTCGGTGCCAAACCAGAAAACCAGAGCTGTGTGCCTGAATGGTTTTTATTTTTCCAGCCTATAATCGCTATAGAAATCCCAGGCAGAGTCCTGCCCTGGCATCGCCCGCCTCAGGCCTTCCACGCCGCTCCGCACGCAGCACGGTTTCTGCATTGCCCAACGCTGGGTTCTGAGGGTCTGGACCACCAGGATCAGGTCGGGGCTCTTGGTGGTTCCGCAGCTCCGGGCGCGGTGCCGGGCAGCCTCGGTGCCTTCTCTCCCCATCGCACGCTCGCCCAGACCTGGGCCCTTCCCGAGGCCTGGCGACGTGTTTCGTTGAAAGCGGGCCAGGTCAGTTGCGCCCTGACGGTAGACGCCTGGGTTCCCGCCGAGTCCCCACCTGCGCCTCAAATCCGCCGGGTCTGTCGGTCTGTCGCGTGAGGGAGGGCACAGCTGGGTGTTTGCAAAGCCCAACAGTCCAGGCGTTTCCGCATTGTCCAACGCTAGGGGCAAGTAACGGAGCGGAACTTCTGCTCACGCGAATACTCCGTGCAGCCCCTGCGGCCCCCAACAAGTGCAAGGTTGCAGGACCCTGGGCTACGGTGACCTCACTCCTGGCGTCGCCTATGCCGCACGTGGTCGCCTTGGTCACAGGCCCTGAGAGCCAGAACAGCACCAACCCGTGGGTCCCCGCGCTCCTCTACCCTCCGAGCCATTAGCTTACGACCTGGAGGCCCCTCAAAAGAAAACGGTTTGGAGGCCACGGCCTCTCAAGGGATCTTGCTCAAACGAAAAGAGCGCGCACTGAGACCTGGGGCCCGTTTGAAGGCCGGCAAGGCGGCGAATTGGTTTGGGCGTTGCCAGGCCCAGGTGGTATTTGAGGCGGGTGCCCAGACCCGAGGTGGCCACTGGTCCAGATCGCCCTTTGGTTCCAGCCTGCCGTCACCGCTCAGACCTGGTGTGCCTTCTTATCGCGCCGGGTTCCCTTCCAGGCCCTTTCGTCCAGGGGTGGGGGCGCCGGCGCGGCGGGCCAGGCATCCGGTGAGCGGGCCGGGCTCGCAGCTTTTGGTCCGGGAAGCGGTAAAGTCCGCCGCGGGGTAGTTTTT